TTACAGAAAATGTTACATTGTTGTGATTTATATCGTTATCGGACGATAGATGTTTTATATCAGGAGATGAGGTTTTGGTCGTATCGCACAACCCTCAACCTCCACCTCGCAGGAAGCTCAGAGGACTCCGCCCACAGGTGTGGCTCTGACCCGGAGGTTTACCTGATGTACGGTTTGAGGAGGCGGGAGGTGTACGGGCTCCTGACGGTCTGCTCCAGGCTTCCTTCAGCTCCCATCAGACGATGCCAGAAGGACACGGACGGCTGCTGGACGCCTCGCCTGCCGGAGACGCCGGTCTGTAAAACACGGACAGGTGAACGCTGCATCAGCTGCATGTGTCACGTGGACGGACAGGAAGTGCGTGCGTTACCTGGAAGCGATCGAGAATCCGCAGCTCCTGGCTGCTGGTACAGTACTTCCCTTTCACACCGCCGCCGATTTGTGCTCCCGCCTCCTGGGCGCCATAGATCCCTCCCACCAGGCTGAGGGTGGCGCTGACCACTCGGTCGATGTCCAGCAGGGGGTGCCTCCTCTGTCGTTTTATCTGGCGAACCAGCAACTTCCTGTGGAGGCGTTTAGCCTGCGGCGTGACGGCCAACGCGAGCGGGCAGGCGTCCAGCCTTCGCAGCAGCATCCTCTCCTCGTACAGACTGAGAGCGCCGTAGCGAGGGCTCTGGGCGTTGCCCGCAGCGCCGACAGCGTTCTCCGGATGAGTCGCCCTTCTGCGCTCAGGTCCTCCGCCACCGCCGCCTGCGGACAGCGGCGTGTCTTTGCTTTGTCCTACGGCTTCTTCAAAGTCGTGCTCACGGCCTTCGTCTTCCTCGCTCTCTGCTTCACGCTTGATGTGAGGCGGTGGTGGGCGGAGCTTCTTGCGGGTGCCCAGGTTGGCGCTGGCAGGTGGGATGTACTCGGTTCCCGGGTCGATCATCCCCTCCGCCTCCATCTCCTCGTCATCTGAGTCGGAGGAAGCAGAGCACGCCATCAGCGCTTACATCACATAAACCACATGACCTGCACCAATCAGGCGTTACCTCACCGTGGAACAACGCCTGTGGCGGCATGGCGTCAGGGATGAGGTCCGCCTCCGACAGCAGGCTGGGCGTCGCCGAATGCGAGGCTGGCGTTCCCGGGGCAGAAAAGTCAGGTGAAGGCGATGGCGTCGGGCTGGTGAGTGGCGTTCTGTCTGAGGAGCTGAGCGAAGAGAAGTCAATGACCTCGCCCTTCTCCAGGACCAGATCTGGGCGCCGCCCACCACCCGCACCACGACCTCCGCCCAGTTTGACAGGCGTGGAGGCGGCGCTACGGTCCGTGTATCCGCCCGCCGCCTCCTTCTGGGCCCGCCGGATTTCTTTGGCCTCCTGAGTGCGCGAGCGTTTCTCCTTCAGCTGCATGGCGTTCTCCACGGGGTTCCGCGCCCCGCGTTTGCGCAGACCCTCCACGGTGATAATCGGGTCCAGCACGGGTTTGGACGCTGTGGGTAAACGGCGTCCAAGGTCAGAGGTCAACAGACACGTCCAGTTAGGACCCAGCGTTCGATGGCGGCTTACCTTTAGTCTTTGTCACGGATTTGTCCACGTCTGGTCGCAGGGTCGGAGGTCGGTTGTGGACCAGCTTCCACCAGCCAGGCTCGCCGAACTCCTGCGCTCCGGAGCGGAAGAAGGCGGGGCTTCCGACCGACAGGCAGCCCGCTACCGTGCTCCACCAGGTGGACGTCTTCTTCCTGCAAAGAAGCGTGCAACAGGAACGTGAGCGGCGGCACTTTATCGATGGAGAGCAAACCTTTGTTGTCCGTCTGCGACGACCTTGAGCCCAGCAGGAAGTTCCAGTGTCGACCAATGAAAGCGCAGATGTCCTCTTTCCACCTGAAATAGCCCTGCCGGCCCGTCCCCTCCAGAGACAGGTTGTACATGGCCAACATCACCACCTGTCGCAGGAAGAAGCCGCCGTCAGCACGCCGCGTATCTGAGGTGTGTGTCTGTGTGTGTGGGCGGGGCTAAAGTCCTACCTGCTGCCAGGTGAGCCTCATCCTCTCGAAGCTCTCCTTGCCGTCTTCGGAGCAGTCGGAGCAGACGAATTTGAAGAAGTTGTCTCCCTTCAGGTAGCTCGGCTGCTCGCCGCGGAGCTGAGCTGAGGACGCACAGGTACAGGTTAGGTGCTGCACACCTGCTGGGCGTCGCCTAGGTTACCACCAGTGCCTGCTCTCAGCTGATGAAGCTGCCTGTTTGGCTCCACCCACACCACATCAGACCTCACCTTTACTCTCA